GGATTATTTGCATTTTTAAACCAGAATTTTAGGAAGATCAGATTTAACCCAAAGGGGGGAAAAAAGATCTAATGGGATTATTGAAAGCCAAGAATTCAGAGCTGGGTCTACCAGGGAGGAGGTAAGAGGCTCTGATATCCTTTCCATCAATGGTGATAAGGCTAGAGAACATTTGATCAATGCCATAGCCAGCACTTGGAGCCACCTTTCACATCACCAAGACCTTTCTATGAGAAAGATGGATTATTAGCACGTACTGATTATTAAGTCCCATAATGTCATGACTCGTCTAAGGACTAAAAATAAAATATTAATGCCTTATTATTGCTTCATTTTATCATCAAAACATCTTTGTCAAGAAGAGGTATTCTTATTCTTTTCATCGAATATTATTTCCATTTTGCATATATAAAACCTCAGGCCCAGGAAGGCAAATGGCATTAAAGGTCACACAGTAAGTCAGAAGGAGAGGTAAGAATACAACTGGGGAAAAGGTGAGCTCCTTGCAGATAAAAACCGTCTTCTTTTTAAAATTTTTGTCTCCCCAGTGTTTTGCAAACAGTAGGCACTTAAATGTTTGTTAAATTGAATTGAACCTAGATCTTCAGGCTTCCAAGAACCTTCTAAAAGGCCATGTTATTGTCCAAAGATCTATACATACATAAACACACACAGAGAGGGAGAGGAAGAGGGAGAGAGAGAGAGAGAGAGAGAGAGAGAGAGAGAGAGAGAGAGAGAGAGAGCGCGCAGAGAAGCTGCCCAGGGCTCTTCTACCGAAGGCTTTTTTCTGTGGGTTGGGGAAGGTGGGCAGTGTGCAGGGCTCTGAGTAAGAAGACACCTCCATAAGGAGCTAGAAGTCTTTGTTTTGCTCTTTCACACCTTCCCAGCTGAGGCAGCCCCTGCAGATATCCAGCTCATTTTAACCTTCTTCCTCCCCCCAAGTCAGTCAATGTTCAATCTCTCCTTTCCAAAAAGAAAGGAAAGTGTGGGTTGCACTCATTCTCTCTCTCTCTCTCTCTCTCTCTCTCTCTCTCTCTCTCTCTCTCTCTCTCCCTCTCTCTCCTTTTTCCTCTTCCTCCTTTTCCCTCTTCCTCCTTTTCCCTCTCCCTCCTTTTCCCTCTTCCTCCCTTTCCCTCTCCCTCCCTTTCCCTCTCCCTCCTTTTCCCTCTCCCTCCTTTTCCCTCTCCCTCCTTTTCCCTCTCCCTCCTTTTCCCTCTCCCTCCTTTTCCCTCTCCCTCCTTTTCCCTCTCCCTCCCTTTCCCTCTCCCTTCCTAATAAAACCCACTTCTGAACCTCCTTTTGAGCAATGCTGATGATTACATACTGCCGCAGGATAATTTCCTTCCTCCTTTCTATAACCTGTCATGGGGGTGGGATCTAAAGCCTCAGAGAATGTCAAAGCCACAAGGAGGCATCCCTGCCATGCTCCTCCTCCCTAGCAATGGGTCTGTGGTTCCCCATTCTCCTCTTGGAGAACCTAGCCACTAACCACACCAAGGAAAGGACAAATCTTAAACTGATGGCTCTGGCTGAGGCCCAGACCCAGGCCATCCACTTGCCCAAGGGCATGGTCTCTCCTGCCTCAAGTGAGAAGGCAGGACCCTCCACATGGTTTAGAGCACAAGACTTCTCTGGATTGCAACTTCTTTGTCCTTCTACCCCTTTGACCCAAGATCCTCCCACTTCCCCTGGCCTCACTCCAGGCTATTCCTGCTAGCCTAGGTGAACGTAATCACAGCTCCCATTTCTACAGTGCTTTGAGGTTTAGAAAGCACTTTCCCTTCAACAATCCTGCTAGGCAGGTAGTGAAAGTATTGTTATACAGCTAATCTTATTTGACTTGAACCCAGATCTCCAGCCTCTAATTACAGGTCTCTCTACACTGAAGAATGCTACCTAGACAAACAGGGGTGTGTGTGTGTGTGTGTGTGTGTGTGTGTGTGTGTGTGTGTGTGTGTGTGTGTGTTGGGAGAAGTGTTGAGGAGAGCCAAGAAATGGGCATTTTCTTTCTGAGTCACTCCTTCCTCACCTCAGAATGATCAATCAATCTGGGATTGATTAAACACCTAATTCGTTTAGGCCCACCTTGCCTTGACAGATTCTAGTCATCTCCTTCCCTGGCCTGGCCCCTAAGACTGCCTGGAGAACTGTTGGCTCCATCACATCTGGAATTCGGTTTGTGGCCACTTTAGCTGCCTGCCTACCAGGGTCCCATTGATGGTCCCTTCCTAGTGACCACAAACCTTAGAGTCATCTCTGTTGCCCAGGGAGTTGCCAGAGGATCCTTGTGCCCATCCTCAGCCCCGACCCCAGCTACCTAAGGGTTCAGAAGATTCAGATTTTGAAATCCTCTGGTTCTACCCTAACCCATCTATGAGAAGCCAAGGGAAGGAAAGTGTCTTGCTCTAAGTGACACAACCCATGAGAGACAGCTCCGTGGACCCTCTGACTCTAGTCTGGCTCTTTGGCAGATGAAGTCCTCACAGATCTAGCCCCTCAGTTGGATGAGGGAAACAACCAAAGCCAGTATGCCACAGAGGTGAGTGTGATCTGGTCAGTATGGAAGAAGGAACTGAAATGGCTGTAACACTCTCCCAAACCATTACCCAGTCCTGCCAGGACATTGGTTTTCCCTTGCATTCTTTGCCAGCTCCCAGAATATCTTTACCTACCTGCTGCATACACACACACACACACACACACACACACACACACACACACACACACATACACACACACACATCTGTGCCAATGTCCGGTCTTCTTGCCCAAAGCATTAAATAGCTCCATCTCCTCATGCCACCCCATACACCTTCCACTGCTTCCCCACTGTGTGGCTACATCCTAGCCCAGCAGCACCTCGCACCAGGTATACCACTCCTCAAAGAGCCAACAGCAGGCATTGACATGTGAGTGCCAAGGACCACGGAGAAGCCTCTAGAAGGCGACATTCCAACAACACCCCCACAGACACACAAGATTCAATAATATCCATCTCCTCTTGGGGCAAAACATCACTTTTACTTTCACTTAGAGTGATTGAGTCATCATGTCCCCTTCCCTGTCACCATACAGTCCTATAGCCTCAGTGAAATGGAAAATGGGTGCACCCCAAGAAGCAGCTGCTAATGACTAACTGGAATTGCTGAATCTCTTCAGTGCCTTCACAGGTAGCACAGGTCCCTTTCACCTCCTGAGCAGCAGGGCCACATTCCCCAAGTTCCCCAGCTCTGCCCAACCTCATCTTCCCCAGACCCACTCCACATCTAAGCCCACCTTGAACATGCCAATACACATGACTATCTATGTCCCTTACAGATATTCACAGAACCTTCAGGTACGTGCTTTAACATATGCACACGCATATGCTTGTACCATATATGCACTCGCTGTGACTGGCTCACACATACGCACAGCCTGCTCATGTGAGGGCAGCTTTCCTGAACATATGCATATAGCCAGCCTCCCACACATGTGCATAGCATATATTCAGGTCTTGCGCACACACCCCATACTAGCATGCCTTCACATGGACCTAGCCACCTCCCATATATAAATGCACACACATTCAGTAAGCCCTCATGAATGCATATATGCTTAGATTCAGACCCACACAACTATGCATACCTATATGTAGAAACATATCAGCACACCTTTACATATGTTCACAGACTCACACAGATACATACACACATATATGCACATGTTCATATACTCGGCATACTCTCACGCAATGCGCATACAGATGCTGATCAGCACCGTTTCACGGATCCACACAAGGTGCGTGCAGATGCACAGATATACACTCCCCTACATACATACACACCCAACACGCACAGCCTGACTGGCTGGAACCCACACTCTGAATGTCTGGTACCTCTCTGCCTTGCAAACACTCTAGTCATGAGCAGTAGACAGGGGGTTAAGTGCTCATGGGGCAATGTGGTGTAGTGGAATGAACATCGGATTTGCAGGCAGAAGAATAAGGTTCAAATCCTGCTTCTCCCACTTAATACTTGTATGACCTTGGGAAAGTCACTTTGCCTCAGATGATCTGTTTTTTCATCTATAAAATGGGAGCTTTGAACTAGACAATCTCTAAGGTCCAATCCAACTCCAAACCCTATGACCCAATGCAGATGTCACCTAAGCTAATTCCCACAAGCCCAGTAGGGCTGCAGGCCCCCTGAGGGTAGTGCCCCGGACACCCCCTATCCTCACAGCTGCTAAGACTGTGAAAACAAACTTCTGGAAAGTCTACCTGCCAACTTAACCCCAATCCCTTCCCATTCTGTCCCCTGCATGAACCAAGTCTAGCCAACATTTAAAAAACCAATTGAAGCCCCAGCAACTTGGTATTAACCAGCCAGACCCAGGTACTTCTCTATCCTCCCCCTACTTTGGCAGCTGTACAAGTTCACCCAGGAGGGTCTGCCTCTCCCTATCCCTACAGACACAAAGTGCTCAAAGATGCCTTCTAAGCACCACTCCCAACAACCTCCCCCCATCACCACAGGGTGACCAGGCTCTCTTTAACTCTGCATGGACCAGGCTAAGTACTTAATAAATGCTTATTTCCTTCCCTCCCTCCCTACTGCCAAGGCCCCCTGTGGTGCTAACTTTGGCTGGGAGGAGCTTCCTCAGAAAAGTTGGCTACTCTCCACAGTTCGGGCAGTGTGCATACATGTGCATGCAGTCTGGTGCATCTCTATGAGTTGCATGTGCATGAGTGTGCAAGGACATGCTGAGTGTTTGCATGCATTCATGAGCAGGGATGAGTTCAGTAAGTGTGCATGTACCTGAATACACATACATGTACACACACACACACACACACACACACACACACACACACACACACACACACACCCTGGAGTCTTTGGAAGCCTAATCTCCAATATTCCTCCAGCAAACCAACAGCTTCCATCAGACATCTTCTCTCTTTTCCACCTAGGGGGAAGAGATCAGCCTGGTCCCCTTCCCTCACAAAGGAAACTTACTTGCCCAGTTCCTCAAAGAGCTGATATTCTTCGGTGAATCGGGTGCAGGTAATTGTGGCCATGCTGCCCAGCAAGGCAAGGAGGCAAAGCCAGGTGACAAGAGCTGTGGAGCTGGAGAGAGGAGCTGAGCTGGAAGGCAAACGACAGCTCACAGCTCACTGATGCCACTCCTCTCCCGGGCTCCTCTGGGGGCTCCCAGCTGCTCACTTCCCCAAGCAGAGGGAAATGAGGGAATGGGTTTGATTGGCAAGCTTGGAGATAATGATGAGGGCGATTTGTCTCCTCTAAGCCTCACAAGCCTTCGTCAGCATCCAGGTTCCCATGGCAACCACCTCTGAAACGCCCTGTTTCCGTTGCCCCAGCAACTGCCTCCCAAACACCTGCCGGCCACAGGGCCCAGGTCGGGGGCAGGGAAGGGGGAAAGCAGCACCCAGGGAGAAGGAGGGAGAAAAAGAGAAGAAACTTACTCCCCAGATAAAATAAGTAAATAACCCCCAACCCCACTCCGAACGCTGGGGTGATTGAAACAGATGGGCTAGGATTAAGTGGGGCAAAAAAGGGTTGTCATGGCAACTACCCTTGCCACATTTCAGGACGGTCCCTGAAAAGACAGGATGCTGTTACCCTAGCAACTACATCTTATCCTCCAGAAAAAACAGGTATTGCCCTGTTGCCCTGGCAACATTCAAGTTCCAAGATTTAGAGAGAAATGATGTCTAATTCATCCAGACCCACATACATCTCTTTCTCATTTTACTCTCTTTTCTCCCTGCTCATCTTTCTTCTCTTTCCTAACTCTCACTTCTCCTCTCTCTCTTACCTCTCTCACCTCTCTTTTATTCTTTTTTTCCTCTCTCACCTCTTTCTCAGCTCCAAGCTTTCTCTCCTTTCACCTCTCACCCATCGCCTTTCTTTCTTTAATCTTCCCTTTCTCACTCATCTTTCTCTCTTCTCCACTCTCTCGTGTCTTCTTTCTTTTCTCCAAATACCTTCTCTCTCCCCTCTTGCTCACCTTCCTCCCCTTTTTTCTCCCTCATCTCTGCTGTCTCATCTCTGTTATCACCTATTATGTCTCAGCTCTGTCCACTCTTTTTTTATTCCTCCTCCCTATCCCTCATTCCCACTCTCCTCTCTTCTGTCTCCCCTCCCCCTACCTTCTCCTTCATTAAGTTTCTGCTTTTGTACTGCACCCTTGTTAGAATCACAGGCACTGGGAGGAATCCAGAGGAGAAGCGTCAGATCTGGGGTCTTGGAGACAATCATTCCTTGTGACCCGAGACATAAGATGGTCCTCTCCCAATGCTCCATGAGTGGACTAATGTCCACTCTGCCCCTCCCAGCCCTCCTTCCTTAAAGGAATCACCAAGTTGCTCTCTCCTGGGGGCCCTGTCCTAGTTTCTGTTTTCTGAACGATCCTAGGAGTGGGGGTTGGGACAGGAGCAGCAACCCAAAGTAGTAGAAACAAAGCTGGAATTAGAAGACCTGAGTTCTACCCTGCCTGTGCCATTATGTGACCTTGGGCAAATGACTTCCTCTCCCCCAAAGGTGAGTTTACTTATCTGTGAAATGAAAGGATTGGGGGGCAGCTAGGTGGCGCAGTGGATAGAGCACCGGCCCTGAAATCGGGAGGACCTGAGTTCACATCTGACCTCAGACCAAACACTTGACACTTACTAGCTGTGTGACCCTGGGCAAGTCACTTAACTACAATTGCCTGAAAAAAAAAATGAAAAGGTTGTATTGGTGACCTCTAAGGGCCCTCCTAGTGTGTGCTTGGCCAGACCAGTAGGGATAGTCAAGGTTAGAGGGCTGAGAGGGGAACAGAAACCAGGTCCAAGCTTTGATCCCATCCTCCCTTCCCTGATCTTGCTCTGACCAACCACATTTGAAATAGTTGGCACATGTCTGGAAAGCAATTGTCAGCATTCTCACCATGGAACTCACCTTGCCCACCATCAGCTCCCCTCCCCCGCCCAGTACATATTCCCTGCTGACTTTTATTTTCTCCACCAGCAGCCACATCTACAGGACTCCTTGCCACCACTCACCCCAATACCTGAAGCCTTAAAAGCATTCACCATCCTAGCCATTACCCCATCTTTCTAGAGGAGACAAAGAGAGATCCAGGGAAGTTAGGACCACAGCTCTACTGACTAACCCGGGAATACAAGTTACAGACCTCTTCAAAATCATAAACTTCTATGTTTTCCCAGGGGGAGGGGTACCTTGGTCCCATTTCACAGCCAGATAAACTGAAGCCCGGATAATTGTCTTTTGGTGACGCCAGAGTTGGGGGTGGGGAGGGAACAATTTCAGGCATCTGCATCATTCTCCAAGATTTTCCAATTCCACTCCACCCAGTTATCAGCAATGTTGGCCTCCTTCCTTAATAGGCATTTCCCAAACTCTAATGGACTTGCTTTTATTCCTTTCCAAAATCCCTGTGTCTAGTGATACTCTAGGGATCTAGATTCCAGATGATCTCTCTCTCTCTCTCTCTCTCTCTCTCTCTCTCTCTCTCTCTCTCTCTCTCTCTCTTCTTTTTGTCACACACACACACACACACACACACACCCCATCCCACCCATTCCCACTCCCACTTCCATCTTTTCCCAGCTGCAGGAAATGCCTACCCCTTGCCCAGGAGCCAGAGATGGGAACAGGGAACAGCCTAACCCCTGAAGAGATAGGCTCCTCCAGGTGGTGAATTGAACTCATTAGGTATAGCTGCTTTTTCAAAGGAAAGAAATCAAAGAGGGGCGGGGGAGATAGAAAGGGGAATGAGAGGAAAGGAGAGGAGAGGAGCAGGGAGGGAGGTGGAAAAGAGGGAGGAGGTAATGGCTCAGCCATTAATTGCACCATCACCACCTTCAGAAAAAGGAAAAACTACTTGGTTTTGTTTTTGCACACAATACACTTTCCCTTCTCCCGCCAACGTAGCAATTCTGAAGCATAAAGGAGGGCCCTGTCATATGCCTGGGCACACAGGACTGCCACTCAGCTAATGGGCAGCAAAACATTGGATATGCTATTACCTCCACCTTCAGTACCCACCAAGAACAGGACAGTTGCCCCTTAACAGCCTGAGTAGGGAAACGGGTGGGTAAAAGGGAGAGGGGGAGGAATTTAACTAAGAGAACAGGGCTTGGAGGAAATCTCAGCCACAGAGTGAGGGACCCAACAAGATGTCCTGTGGTTCCCACCTCCTCATGACCTAGTTCCTCCACCTGAATCCCTTCTTCTGCCACCCCCACCCTTTTCCACCGAAGCTGTACCTGTACTGAAAATGCCCACCCTGAGCAGACTACTTGGGGCAGTGGAGGGTGAGATAGAGAGATGACCACTGTGAAAGACTGAGCAGCCCAGCTACAGAAAACCAGACTAGGAAAGGGGATACTGTGTTTTCCTTGTGTCTGTCAATATCTTATCCTGAGTTTCCAGTCCAAGGAAGCAGGCCTTTGTATCTCACAAGTTCCTAATGCCTCCTTTCTCTTTCCTGGGGGGTTAGTATTCCTTTGTCTACACCTAGAAAACCAGGAGAGCAGAGGTTTTATCAAATCATAGAATATTAGCAGTGAAGGAGCTTCAGAACATAGAATGCTAGCATTAGAAGGAGCCTTAGATATCTAATTGAAGATTCTCATTTTATGCAAGAGGAAATTGAAGCTAAGAAAGAGAAAGTAACTTGCTCAGTTCACTGGTAGAGCTGGGGATATAACCAGCCAGGTACTAGTGGAAGTTTAATAACCACCAAAGTGACTTGCCCAGGGTCACACAGCTAGCCTGGGTCCAGTACTCTATCCACTGGGTCACTAGCTGCCCCTCATTGCTGATTTCTGAGGTATAAATGCTCTCCCCAAAAACTTAACAATCAGCTCTCAAGAACCTATATTAGCTATCTTCAGCACACCCCTGACTATAACTCAGATCTCTATAATTCAGGGTTATACCATACTATCATCTTATCTAGCCCTCAGACCTAGTCGGGTAGCAGTTTGTGTGACAAAGATCTGGAGACGGGAGAATCTCAGTTGACCACAAGATCAATAAAGATCTTGAGTATGACATTGTTTCTATAAATAAAAAAAGAAATGATGCCATCTTGGGTTGCACAGAATCAGGACTGAACCATGTCTAGAGTACTGTGTTCCTTTCTGAGCATCACATGTTGGGAGGGACATTGGCAAGGCCAGAGGAAGGTAGCCAGAATGGTGAAGGAGCAAGAGATTCTACCATTTAAGCATCAGCTCAAGGTTTAGAGGGGTTGTGGTCATTGTCTTCAAGTATCTGACGAAATCAGACCTTTTCTACTTAACCCCAGAGAGTAGGGAAAAGTCGATACTGAAATGACTTCCAGTCAACATAAGGAAAAACTTTCTAACAGAGATGGCAAACAATGGATCGTGCTACCTTATGTACTAAGAAGCTCCCCATCACTGAAGGTATTTAAGTAATGGCTATGCCTATTTCATAACAGATATTGCAGAGAAAGCAAGGGCTTTGTAACACAAGATAGGTGAATGTGAGTGGTTCCTCTCTTTCCTTCCTCTCTCCTTACACTCTTTTCTGCCTCACTTCTTGAAAAAACCCTCCTTTCTTTCCCTGGCAGTGCCAAGAGGTGATATGGGGAGGTGAGAGAAGGAAAATGGTTAGGTGATGGGGGATGGCGAAGAGGGAGGAAAAAGATGCTAGGGTGAGGCAAAAGAGTCCTCCTGACTGAACCCCAACTCTTTTAGTGGATGTGGGACAGAAGTAGAGGAAGCTCACAGAGAGGGGAAGGTCACTAGTGGATCATCTTCTAACTCAAAAGAAGTGAATCCTCATCTGGAGAAGGCAGCAAAAGAACGTTGGTCCTCTGATTAGTTCATCATTTTTTGCTGTATAATTACTGCCCCTGATAAGGAGGCATTACAATAAACATACAGACAGCTTCCTTGCCCACCAGACCCATGGGACAGAGAGAAGGAGGGATGGAGGGGAAGAGGGTACTGTCAACAGTGCCCAGTGGTCTGTGGCAGCAGTGACAAGAAGCCAGCGTGTGTTTGTCTATCAGTGAGAGCAGGAAAGGATGGTTACAGCCTCTGGCACTCATACCCCTGCGCATACTGACATCTGGCACACGTGTGTGTGGCTGTCAGAGCGTGTGCACCATGACCTGACACCCAGAAGCACCCAAATCACCAAGTTCCTGCTTTACCATACTGGTATGCAGGCCTACACATGTGCTCAGCTTAGCACTCTGGCCATCTGGGCTTCCTACTGTGCCCAGGGGGCAGCCTTTGAGGTCAAAATAAATATGCTTCCTAGCTTTTGAACCAT